CTGGATAAAAGCAGGAATGATATCCGTACAATTGATTTAGGAAAGAAAAAATTAATATAATATAGCTTCCAGATTATTTCATTTCTGCTACCACCGGTGAACATTAGTTGATTAATATCACAGCTGCTGTTTATACTTACTTATTTTGTAGATGTTTTTATTGTTTTAGTGTCTTTTAAATTATTTTGTTTTAGAATTTAGAAATGTAAGACTCTCGGAGTTAATTGGTTGAATTAGGCAGCTATAGAAAACAAACAAATAAATAAATACAGTTGCAATTGTCACTGTTTTTCTATAAACCGTATGCTTCCCTTCCCAAGGAAATGAAAGAATTACTGAGGTAAAAAAAAACCAATCAGTCAAATACTAGCAAGAAAGAAGAAACAGGAAAACAGCTGTGATAATCACTGAATCCCCTAAAGAAAAAAAGAGAAGAATAATCTCAATAAAATAATATTAGTTAAGTTCAGGTTTTGGAGAATACAAGTACCTGGCCATACAGTTTTCTTGACAACAAAATAAATGTGAATAGTGGGAGGGGAAGAGAAACAGAGAGAGAGGGAGGGAGAGGAAACAGAAAACAATAGGACCATGAATATCAGCAGATGGCCTCATCTAGCTATTCTTAGTTGATCCCAGATACAGGTCTTGTTAGTCCTTGGGCGGTCCAACTCAAAACAGGTTATTGGTTAATCTTGAAAATCTACATGTTCTTGGAAGAAAGCACTTGCAGGACTTCCTGAATGCAGCTACTAGGAACTGAAATTATCTGAAGGCATCTGTTATTGTTGTTGCTTATTTTATTTTATATTTTACTCTTTTATTTTAGAGAGACGTAAAAATATTTTTTTAATTAATTCACAATCTGGAAAGACAGATGGGGAAGACACAAAAAGAGCAATGCGTATTTGCTATTGACTGCAAGCTTCAGACTTACATATATGATTATGGTGCTGTGAGAAGTGGAAAAGGTAAAGATACATCAGAAATATTCTGATTAAAATTAAATGTTCAGAAGGCTTTTATGATACAGATTCACTGAATCTATAATAACTAGGACCTTTCCTGATCCAGCTGTAATCTGAAATGTCTCTGAATTGGGGGGCGGAGGTGTCACCTTAGAATGGGTAGCTGGACAAAGGTCATCAAGAAGCAATTCAGTTAAAAACAATGTCACTTGCAAATGAATTTCCCACATTTAAGGTTCCTAATCCAACAAGTGGAAGTGGGAGTTTCCTTCCACACATAGATCTTTTAACTAGAGCTAAAACAATGATGTCATGTTGAATATTTGGGGCTTTTTAAAGTACTAAGTTGTGTCCAGGCACTCATTTCTGTGTACAAAACTATAATTTCCAGTTTATTTTTAGTAAACCTGTGTTGCAAAGTTCCCACTCTCTGAAGCTGGCACAGATTGATAGGAAATGGATTTTGTTTTGACCTAAAAGAATACGTGATCTCCTTGGAGAGAAGATGAATCCCATTATCCCATTAATTAAAGTTTTAAAACAGTACTTCTATGCAAGTATTATTTAAAGGAAAATGACAATTCAAACAAAAAATTGTAATGATTCAGAACTCTGAAATTAAAAATAAAATCCTCCCCCAACCATTTTTTTTTACCTCAGCTATGTTGCAGCTTCATCAAGACATTAATTTAGGAATAAGTCACCTCTAAGTCAAAAAGTATAGTTTGCACATGCACTGTGCCATTGTAACCAAGGTTTGTTAAAGAAGTTATAATGGCTTATATCTAGAACATGAAGCAATGAACCAAAGTTTACAAATCATAATGACTTAGCTCACAAATGATGCTAAGATAAAAAACAAGCTACATTCTGGTTTACTAGACTTGTATGAAATTTGAGAATAGTTAATGTCAGACGAGATTTGACCAACAGATGTGTCCACACCAAATTTTCATTTAAGTGGTCAGATTTTTTTTTTTCCTGAGGTGGTTGAATTTCACCCCTGGTCTGGAAATATTTTCACAGCCCTCTTTTTGACTTGTGCAGGTATACAAGTCCTTGATGGAAGGCAGGTTGGTAGTAATTGTTTTTTTTTTTTTGCAGTCCTTTCTGCAGGATGATCTGTAAGTTCAGTGTTTCCTTCCATATATGGGCAAGGCAGGAAAGAACTCAGAGATATAATAGATATCTATCTCTATAACTTAATATATTTGCTTTAAACTTCAGTTTTGATACTGTGTTCCTTCAAGGAAATCTTCACCCCTGGACTAGTTTCAGCAATTTTCTTGGCACAATTTTCAAAAGTGGTTTCCCATTGCCTGCTTCCTAGGGCTAAGAGTGGCTGGCTTAGGCTGGCCTAAGGCCACCCAGCTGGCTTTGTGCCTAAGGCAGGCCAAAAAATAATAGTCTCTCAATTTCTAGCCTGATACTTTAACTACTACATCAAACTGGCTAATTCATATCAAAATAATTAATCTTTGAGTTTCATAATTGTTATTTTAAATTGAATGCAGCATTAAATCACAGAATTTTATAGAATCTAATTTATATATTTCTGCTTATTAGCCTACACTTTAAAACAAATTAAAAAACAGTTGCAATTGGTTTATTTTTATTTTTAACAATTTTATACGCAACCTAGAAAATATAATTTGGCCAAATCTGGAATATTCTAATAAAATTTCATCTCTGTGTTTTATACAATATCTATTATCCCCATAGCTCCTTGCTGGTAGAATTTGTGTCTCATATTTGACCAAATTATTAGTAAAGTTAATGAATTAGTGATATTTGTAATAATGAATAAATATATTGAACATTTTGTAGTGCTTAAGTGTCATGCCCCTGTCGGAATCTGATTTGGAGGGGGAGGCCAAGCAGCTGACAGGGAGTGGGAGTGTGGCTCCATTGGCTGTAGAAGAAACGGGGGGAGGGCAAAGGCCGGCTGGGCAGAGCAGGGGTGAGATAGAGCAAGGGAGAGGGAATTTGGAGGAAGACCCAGGCCCACCCCGCTCTTCATCCTAGGGCATGCAGGGAGGAACGGAGAAGGGAACAGGATGAATTGCATGGCTTACAGGGTAAGAAAGGGCCCTGATTCCCTTCATTAGCTGCAGCTGGGAACACAATGTTTAAAAAGGGAAGCTGCACACAGCAAAGCGGTTAGGAGCAAAACCTGAATTATCTGGTATTGTTGAGGCTTATCTGCATTCCTGGTGTCTTCCCAACTGGGTATGTTTTGCTGGGCTTTCAAATCTGCAATTCCTTCTCCTGCCTAGTCAAGTTAATTACTGCAGCATGGTTTGTGTGGATTTTTATTTACAATTTGTATGTACTTTGTTTTTGGACTGAATTTCCTCCACTTAAAGACTGTTCTTGGGAGGATTTTTTCTCCAGCTGAAGGTAACCTGGACATTGGGAGCAAAGTTGGAGTTATTGAGTTATTGAGACACTTCTTGCTTATTTGACTGTGTTGCCTTTTTGCCACACCCTGGGTCATCACATTAAGACTGGTACAATCAGATCTGGACTGCAAAGATAGTAGCAAATTACCAAAAGCTTCATTTGCAATTATAATCTTTTAAAAACATCTAACAATAGGGTTTGTTGAATTTAAATTATCAGATTATAAGATGCTCCAGACTATAAAATGTACATTAGCTTTAGAAGAGAAAATATATATATATAATCTGCCTCTGCATCCCAGTATCCATCCAGTATTCATCTGGCTGGTCAGCTTCAGCACGTTATCGCAGCCCCAGCATTTGGTTCCTCAGGGCTCCACTCCACTGCACCACTACCAGTCAGCTGAGCTGAGCTCCTGCTACCACTGGGGAACACTGGAGATATTGCTGCCAAGCAGCTGATTGGTGATTAGATTTTCCTCCCACGATAGCGCCAATCAGCTGTTGCAACCACCTCAGCCTGTTCGCCACAGCCCATTTGCCACAGCCGTTTACCACAGGGCATTCGCTGCCGCTGCAGCCCATTCTCCACTGTGGTCCATTTGTTGCAGCCTGTTTGCTGCCACTGCGGCCTGTTCGCCATGGCCCATTCGCTGCATCCCATTTGCCACCACCACAGCCCATTCGCTACCAGAAAGCTCAGCAGTGATGCCCGCCACCGGGTAGCAGTGGCAGTGATCCTTGCCACCTAGAACAGCTGATTGACACCGCATCAGCCACCCTCCCCCCCTGCTGCAATATTCGTTCTATAAGACACACAGACATTTCCACCCACTTTTTGGCGGGAGGGAAGTGTGTCTTATAGTCTGAAAAATACGGTAGATTATACTGCATTGTTGGGCCCTATGCTCATAACAGATTTAACTGTGTCAGTAGAAGAGATAAATACATTATGGGAATACCAACATTGAGCAAAATGACTAATAACCAAGAGGATATATGCAAAACACAGTTATATACAACATTTTACTAATTCCATGCAGTGGTTACAACATTCACATCTACTCCATTGATCTGTTTATGCATTCTGAGGCTGGAGAAAAGGATCTGGAAAAAAACAGAAAATAAGCTTCTCCACTGCAAAAATCGTCACCAAAGCATGGCACCATGGAGAACAAACCACCCAAATGTTGGTTACAGTGCTTGTCTGCTCAATGGGAAGGGACAGTGATGTCATGAGAAATTGTCAGTACTTTTTCCAGTGAAATATACTGTAGATACTGTCAACCCTGAATTTGGCTGAACTGCAGCCATTTTCTTTTGTAGTTTTTTTTTCCTTTGAGGAATACGCCTGCTTCGGAGTTCTTATTGAATGGGACGTATTACGTGGAACCTTGATAGACACTTCTTGCACAAAGCTAATGAGGACTCTGTTTTTCCACCATGGTGGGTGGACCTGATTACTCTGTCTTCTGCTGGAACTGCTTGTAAAGTGGCTTGACTAGATTTACTGTGTTCTAAGAACAGGGCTTTGAAGTGTCTGAGAGACTGTTATTTGAAGTATCAAAAGTACAGTTGAAGTATCTGAAACGCTGTTATCTTGAAACACTGACATGTTATTTCTGTTCGCTTTTGAAATAGCCCAGATTTATTACCTCAACAATAAAAGAGAAGGACTAAGTCTAGAAAACAATTGAGCCACATAAAAAAATATATAAGAATCGTTCATTCCTAAATTAAACTCCTAACAGTAAAATTAAATAATCCCAACTGAACTCATGGATTGACTTTTGAGTAGACTTCCACTTAGTAATATTCAGAACTAAGTAGACAGAGTGCATTGTCAATACTGGTGAGGTCCACCGGGGTGCGGGGGTCAGAAAGGTAAAAAAAAGAAAGAAAGTCAAGGATGGCAGTCATAGGAGCATCATCAAAACCCCACTCCTTTTGTATGGGCTTTGACTGCTGTGACTGCCATCTTGACCTTCTGCAGAAACCCATTATCTTTCCATAGGGACCAGTATAGTGCCTATTTCAATAAAGGAGCATTGTAACAGGGGATTCTGTCCCTAGATTAGTTTGTGCAATTATTAAAATATTAAAAAGCAATGAGCAAAGGGGAATCCAATCATCTCACTGTAGAACAAAAGATAAGCATCATCTATCTGGTTTATAATTAAAATAAGATCATTGCTCTGTTGTCAAGATTCAAAAACAGAGACCTATCCTGAAATAACTTCCCAGTTGTCATGGGTGTCGTTCATCCTAGGCAAAGTAATCTCAGCATTTTAAAAGGTTGTAAAGATAAGGTAGAAACAAACAACAACAACAACAACTTCCCACAACAGAAAGTAGCATGATAAAGTAATAACTGAAATATCAAAAAAATCTGTCTCTAAATAATTTTTGGAAGCCATGTATTTATGAGATGATTACTGTGCTATTTATAGTACTGCATATACTTATAGCAAAATCAGAAAAATTAGGAAGGCAGGAATATATATTGAGTAAGGATTTTCTCTTATAGTTTGTTCAGAGGAAACACAGATAAAATATCAGTCACAATTTGAATATGTGTTAATGTTCTGAATTTAATTTGTCATTAAATTACAAATTGTATACTAGTGATATAATATTTCATTCTCCACCTCTAAACAGTTGAATCATTTATATTGAAGAATTAATCATTTCCTCTAATAATGATTTCAGGTTATGAAGACCAATCAGAATGGAGCCAAAATGAGGCAACGGTGAAATGAGAGTGTGTGTGGTGGGGTGCAGCTTGCAAAATGTGTAGAAACACAAATAGAAAAATCTAATGAGGCAAGACAAAATAAGGATTAATGAGAATTTACCACAGTGGGTAGCCACAGAACATTAAGAAAGAAAAATGGAAAGTGCAGAGACAGTAAAATAGAATTTCTAATGAGAAGAAACAATCGGCTAAAAAGCCCAAATTGGAAATTATTCCTGTTGGGCAGATAGTTTTAATTCTACATTTTAATGTTTGTTTCCATTTGTAAATTTTTCATGACAAATCACAAAAATTATGTACAGAGAAAATGTACTTTCCTGGGTTACACTTTACAGGTTTTGAAATGATCCAATATTTTTTCTAAAGCAGAAGTTAAAAGATTTTACTTATTAAAAATAATATTAGTCCACAAGAGTATATCTAATTTAAATGTCTAATTCATTGGGCAGGAGGTATACACTTTGCAAGATACATTAGCATGGAAAAGCATAGAACTTTTGCAGTCCTATTGGAATGCCCTTAGGATTTAAGAATATAATCCCTCATAAAGATTAAATTGCATTTATGTTGCAATTCTAAAGAAATATTTGGATTAATTATGCATTACCAAGAAATGGCAGTCTTCACAAAGTCAAATTAATTTAGTTCATCCAGCAGTTTATATGTCAGCAGTTGGCACTGCAGTTATATTAGGCAAACAAAATAAATATCATAAATGTCAAGACATTTCAGTTTCTTCCAAAAAGAATGATCATAACATTTTAGATGAGAAAATATAATTATGATTACCTTCCAGTGTGCCATTAGTATGCAAGTTATTCCATGCAGAGAGAAGCAGAATGTCAAAACGTTTTTGGTCTGCTTTCCAGAAAACATGTCATTATAGGGTGACTCAGGGCAACAAGAAAAACTGGAAGTTTGTGCTAAATCTCTATTTAACTGAAGTGAGTCCCACGTAAATGCCTTGGTTTAAACTAGCCATTACTACCTTACAATATTCATTGCAATTCTGTTATGTGCCAGACTCATAGTCCTAAGCATTTCTGAAAAGTGAATTGAGTTCCTTGGACATATTTCCAAGTAGAGTTGAAAGATTATATCAGTTTGATTTTTTTCCATTTTTGAGACTTTATCAGATTCAGTGAATGAAACTGGTCAACTTTCAGTTCCTGAAGGAACAGACTGACAAGACTGGGCAATGTGGCTTGTTATGTTCTAGACTCAGCCATTGTTTAAACAGTAAACCACAGCTTGGAAAAAATTGAAGCAAGCTGTGTAATTTTAGTTTGATACGTATGTATCCATCAATCCATCAATCTATCTATTATCTATCTATCTATCTATCTATCTATCTATCTATCTATCTATCTATTCTGTATCTGTCTTTAAATTGGCTTTTCTATACTCTCTCTCTCTCTCTTTTTCTCTCTCTCTCTCTCACACACACACACAAACACACACCCCAGTGGTGGGATTCAATTTTTTTTTACTAACAGTTCTGTGGGCATGGCTTGGTGGGTGTGGCATGGCTTAGTGGGCATGACGTGGCTTGGTGGGTGTGGCAGGGGAAGGATACTGTAAAATCTCCATTCCCTTCCCACTCCTGGGGGAAGGTTACCGCCGGTTCTCCGAACTATTCAAAATTTCTGCTACCGGTTCTCCAGAACTGGTCAGAACCTGCTGAATACCACCTCTCTCTCTCTCTCTCTCTCTCTCTCTCACACACACACACACACACACCATTTTTTGAAAACCGCAAAGTTCACATTTTGGACGGAGAAGACCATTAGTTTGAAAGAGGGATCAAAAAAGCCACCTATGTTAAAATTGAACAGCTGCCTCTCAACAGCACCAGCTGTCTCCTGTCTACAACACAGTCCTTTCAGCAGTCCCAAGAAGGTTCTACACCCATTTGCACTGTGATTCAGGTGACCCTGAGGGCATAGATAAATCCCCAAATAGCCTCAAGGACTCTCAGAGAGTGAACAACTGGCCTTCAGAATGCTAATGACCAGATGACTGCAAAGAGTATAAATTCTCCTATTTCCTGCTATTCAGTCAAAACTGAAGAAGCTTCTTGGATGAGAAGCAAAACGTTTTCAAAGAAAAAAGCCAAGAAAGTTCAGTTACTTTTTGAAAAGCAACCATGAACTGGATGATTGACAATCTCCATAAACATTTAGGCATGCACTTTGTGGTAAGCACCCTCAGAATTATGGAAAGATAAATAGATTTCTAGAAAACTTGCATACTACAGGAATCATTTGTACTTTAATTTGAGATGCAAACAACACAAACTCATCCCCAAAATCTTGTATCAACAGTGAAAGGACACGGTGCAGAAAACATCCTGCAGAAAGCACAACTCCAGCTTCTCAATGAAAGAATAAGATGGATTAATTTTACCATTGATTTTTTGGAAGAGAGTGGAACACAGACTTCAAGAACTTAAATCACTTCTACCAACAGACATATTGGAGGAGGTCACATAATTTACAAAGAATGCACAACTAGTACAACACAAGAACAAAGGACAACAGAAAGGCAAGTTTCCTACCTTACAGTTTAGACATGAAAAACACACTAAACTGAAGACCCAACCCTGATGAGAGAGGACAGTTGTTGAGGTAATTCTCCGTTAGGGAGACGTAGTGAGAGTAGTGTTTGAATAATACACAAATAGCACACAGATACACTGTACAGTAAAAATGTAGGTTTTTACTTCCAATAAATGTTTAAGCAAAGTCCACACACAGTCCAAGTCATTCACAGGTAAATCAGTCAGTGTTCATTCCAGGGATAATTCCAATATCAAAGTCCAGTATCAAAAACAGTTCAGTAACAGACTTACATCAACGATCAGTAACATGTTGTCTTTAGGAGGAACAGCAAAACTCTTCCAACAGAAGGAAACAGAGACTCACTCACACTCTCTTCTGAGACTTCCTGAGATTAAACAACCCAGGTTTCCGGCTCCATCTTATGGCCGTTTGAGTAAACCACACCCAATTACAATTTTAGCATTCCCTTAAAGAGACAGTATTAAAATGTCCATCTTAGTTTATATATTTCCAACCCAAGTAACAGTTAGGTGACTTACATTCCTAACAACAGTGACATATCTCAGAGAACTAACCGATGGGTGAGAAATCTGACTGACAGAGAGTTTAGTCAAACAGAAAAGAACGTTTTATCCAAAGGACTGAATTTTGCTTTAACACCAGACTAGTTAGTAATAGTTACAGAGTCAGCCATCAGGAACAACAAACTGGCAGAACCAGAAGCAGAGCAATTAAGGGTGAAGTATCTGCAGCCCTTGCCAGTGCCAAAACACCTCCTTCCAGCCTCACAGTTCAAGAATTCACTGCTCAAGTAAAGAAGTGACATCAACTACCAGTCAGAAATGACCTGAACATTACTATTTTGCCAGCTGATTAAAAAAATGCAGTTATCCTGAACACAGATGACTACAATGCCAAGGTGAACAGTTTTCTGAAGAACACTGCAACATATGAAACTGAAAAGAGATCCCACCAGCAGTTTGAAGGCAAAAGGTCATCAATTTCCTGCAATTACTGAAGGACAGCCCTTTGAGACTTGGGACACAAAGGAGTTCCATCCATCCATCCATCCATCCATCCATACATCCATCCATACATACATCTCTTTACCCTTGATTCATTTTCTATTGAATCCAGTATTTGCTTCCTAATAATCTTGAACATCAGTATAATAAACAATGAGAAACTGTAAACATCATTTGTACTATAATAATACATGTCTGACTCTCTCTCTCTCTCTCTCTCTCTCTCTCTCTCTCTCTGTGTGTGTGTGTGTGTGTGTGTGTGTGTGTGTGTGTGTGTGTGTGTGTGTGTGTGTGTGTGTGTGTGTGTGTGTTATAATGGGACAGATTTCATCTTCAAAATAATTCTGGCCTTATTTTAAATTACAGCAGAACATGAGTAAGTCATGTATTCCTGATCTCAATTCACTGCAACCTGTGAGACTACAATTGTGAGAAACTATTCTTGGCTTTCCTTTCCTACATCTCAATTTACAATATTTAGAGAGCTACAGATGGTACACCCCTGATTTAAAACAAAAACATTGTGCATCTCTCATTTGGTAGTAAGAAACAAGAAAAAACATCAGACATTGTTATGAATGAAATACACCAATGATAAGCATATAAAAGTTTGTTCACAGAAGGCGAAACAGCAGGTATGGATGATCATGAAAACATCTAAAGAAAAGATGATTGAATGCAATAATACCACAGGACCAGATTTTTGGTAAATCTGTTATATAAAAGTGTATGAAATCATGCAAAAAAGAGAGAGCAAGAGAGCATAATAAGTAATAAGTTTTACACTAAACTCTCCAAAATCATGAAAGTTCTCAATTGTTCATATATAATTCTATGTGGACAATGTTTATTTCTTTAATTACTTTAGCACATAGAGATTTTTAGGCATCCTGATTTTATTCTTGGAGGTACAAAAAACATAAAAAATATATTCCTTTGGAAATGTGGCTATGAATTAAAATATATGTTCATACTTGTTTAGAACATCCCCACATTTAAAAAAAATCGAATAACAAAAAAGAATTAGCAAAAGGTGTACTATTCATAAATTCTTCCAGCATTATTATTATTATTATTATTATTATTATTATTATTATTATTATTTGCATTAGAAAAAGTTGTTTTAGTAAAACATATCCTATTGATTAAGTATATGCTGAAGATAGATGCATATCATGAACAAAATTCGGAAGCGTGCTTCGCTCTTCTAATAAATGATCATTTTAAAAGACTGTTATGGAATGTTTTAACATTAAATATAACACCTAACACACTGGAAAGTACTCATGATAAATAGTGGGATATATTTTTGGCTTTTGTCATTTCCTTGCTTTGAATCCTCCTATGAAAGTTATTTAAAATTATTTTGGTGACTGAGGCAGCATTCAAGTTTATATGTAAATAATGCTTCAAATGTATAAATGCAAAACAAAAATTACTTAACAACGTAAAAAAATTGAGTCCCATTTGCATGGAACTGAACTCATTGTAGGCCAGGCTTTAGTTTAGGCATTTGCCTAAACTAAAACTAATTTCTTTTCCATGCATAATTCTCACATAGTATCTTTAACAAGATCCTTGAGAAACAATGGAATTTCAAGAATTCTAACAGTTAGGCAATTCCCCATTTACAACCAATATGTTCCAAAGTAAATAAGGATAGAGCTCTTCTCCTTCTCTCTCTTCTTTTCTTCTTCTTTCTGTTTTTTGTTATCTTCATTGATAACTAAGGTGAAAAGTGGATATAATATTAGAAAACAACAGAAAGGGGGAATACAGAAGAGGGAAATGGAGGTGGAGAGACAAGGGGGGTAAAAAGGGCAGGGAGAAGAAGAAGCAAGGGAGGAAGGAAGGGATGAGAAGTTTCAATGGTGTGGAGCAAGATGTAAAGAAACAGGATTTATTTAGAGATAATGGGTAAAAACTTAATTGGAAAAGGGATTCTGTAAAGGTACATAAGATTGTATTGTTATATTTGTAATTAGATATAATGTTAGAAAATTGGAAACAACATGTGATTGAAAAGTGAGATAAAATATTCCGTGTAATTTAGTGAAATTTTTGTGAATAAAAGGAAGGCAATGAAATAAATGAGAGAATTGAAGTAGGAATGAATGGGAACATTTTAATGATACAATGTTTTAAAATACAAGCGATGTGAAGTGGGGGGGGGAAATAATTATGGAAAGTTTATAAGTGTTCTCATAAAAGTATGATATTCAACTGAAAAGTAATGTGTAAAATGTTTAAGACTCAAATGAATATTAATATTAATGATAGATTTGAATTGGTATGGATTGTTGTTTTAATTATATTACATACTTATAATTTTTTCTTTCTTTAAAATATAGTGTGTAACTTTAGAATGTACTAAGCAGAATCCAAATGGAAGTTATGTACTATACTAAGTGTTATAAATCTAGGGGAAAGAGATAAAGGTGTCATGCTCTAATTAGTGTACAGGAGAAATTTTGTTTAAAGAGAAAAGATAATAGATAGCTGGAAACAGGACAGACGAAGAATAACAAGCATAATGATCTGAACTGAGATGAGATGAATAAAATAAAATTAAGAAAGTTAAAAGAAGGGAGAAGCTATATAGAAAATGTAAAATGGTAATAAGATATGGAATGGTATATAAAATGAACATTAATTTGAATTTGTGTCTGTACGAAGAGATGTAACCCGGGATCAAGCTGCTTTCAGAAAAGATGTTTTATGTTTTTATGTTTTATGTTTTGTTTGTTTGTGTATTGTCTTTGAAAACCAATAAAATTTGTTTTTTTTAAAAAAAAATTAACAAATGATTGCGAGCTTTCAAATTCCCAGGAACTTTTCATCCAACACAATAACATTTAGAGAGAGAAAAGTGGGGGGATGGTAGAAGCAAAAAGTGTGGCTGCAATTGTAACAAGAATTCAGTTTTGGAGACTCTGAAGAAGTATTAGATGTAAGCAAAGACCATTCCAGGTGGAATGCAGGAAAAAAGGAAGCAAAGGTCTTAGGTAGGCCTTAGGTAGGCCCAAGATCAGAAACCCAGTCATGTCTATCTTTCCTTCCAAAGCACATAACATTACCACCTGCATCCTTTTTTCCTTAATCTTTAATTACAGCATCTTATTTTCTTAGAAACTTAAAAGTTGTTCCTATTTGTAAGTCTTCAGTAATAGAATTGCCCTCAAATCAAAGTTGGATTTCTTTGTCTTGTGATCTGTGTGACAATTTTGTTTTATTTGGGAATAAATAAAAGACTCTTCAATGCATTTAATTTCCTTATATGTAATTTTCTTCTTTTTTATGATGGTCTTCACAATATAGTCCTTTCCAGC